CCATTAGTTTGGTACTCACATCTTTTCTGTGGACTAATTCAGAGAATTTCTAATATTCTGAATATTAAAAACCCAGATTAACCAACAGCTAAGAACCAAGATCCCCTAGCCCAACAGAAGTTTGTCAGAGAGATCTTAGGAGTCATTCCCAATAAATACAAAAATTTAATAGAAAAGCAGCCCTGATAAAGGGGAAGGGAGGAAAAAAAAAAGCAGGCGTACAATGCTTACAGACAGCAGGATGAGCTTATAAAAAAAATCCTGACTGATGGCAAAATGAGGGCAAGGGGTTACAAAAGAATGAGGAAGTAAGAAAGAAGAGAATGAAGAAACAGTGGGGTACAAGAAGCTCACACCTGTAATCCTAGCTACTCCAGAAATTGAGATCTGAGGATTACTGTTCCATGACAGGCCCAGCAAGAAGAGTCTGTGAGACTCATCTCTAGTTAAACACCAAAAAAGCAGGAAGTAGAGCTGTGGCTCAAGTGGTAAAGTTCAGGGACTTTGCCTAGGCAGGCCCTGAGTTCAAGTCCCAGGACTGGCACAAAAAAAAAAGAGGAAATAAGGAGGGAACAGTAAGTCTTGAGCCTCACAACTTTACAGGTAACAGAAAGAAGACTCCCATCAGAAAACCATTCAATTCTCACCATCTAACACAAGGCTAACCTCTATCACAAAGATGGCCAAGCTGGCAGAGACAGGCTAAACTGCCATCTTCCTCATCTTCTCTTTGTCATATTTCACTTGTAATAAACTTTCCTATCACTTATTTTTTTCCAGTCCTGGGGCTTGAACTCAGGGCCTGGGCATTGTCCCTGAGCTTCTTTTGCTCAAGGATAGCACTCTACCACTTGAGCCACTGCACCACTTCCAACTTTTTCTCTTTATATGGTACTGAGGAATCAAACCCAGGGCTTCATGCATGCTAGGAAAGCACTCTACCACTAAGCCACATTCCCAACCCTCCTATCACCTTTAATTATGTGCATGTCTGAATTCTTTTCTTGCCATCTACAAGGACTGAGATTGTTGAGCTGCTCTAAACTTTTTCATAATATTTGGTCCCATACTTAGGGATTAAGTATGTCTCTTTCTGACTTGGACTCATCCAACGGTTACAATATAAGAGGGACAGACCCTCTTGGGATGGAGGGATTAAAAACTGCCTGAGGGAGGATTAAACCTGCTGGGGAGGAGGAGAGAGTTGGGGTCTGAACTCAGGGCATGGGTGCTGTCCCTTTTGGTTTTTTTCAATCAAGGCTGGCACACTACTTCTTGAGCCATAGCTCCACTTCCAGGTTTTGGGTGGTTAACTGGAGACTGTAAGGTTTTAGGCAAGGAAAGAACACACTGGAGGAGGTAAAGGTGAATCAAAGAAAAGTTTATTGGGTACTCCTTGGTTGGGGTCAGAGAGGTCGCGCAGGGTCAGCAGTAAATTTACTTTTAGCAAGTTAAGTTTGAGAGGTTTCAGGCCAGTGGTCTCTGCCGCCCTCCTCCCCCCAAGAAGGATTGGGACAAGTGGTGTTTTGTTTTTTTGTTTTTTAATAAGGAAGTGGCCTTCCTGGCTGCCTCTGCCCTCCGGTGACCGAGATAGAGAGTCTCACAGGCTTTCCTGCCTTGGCTGGCTTCTACTCACGATTCTAGGATCTCAGCCTCCTGCCTGAGTAGCTAGGATTTCAGGCTTGAACTGAGTCCAGTTTAAACTGATTTGTATGCTGGGGCACAGGACCACTTTGTGCGCCGTTTTGGAGTCCTGGTACAATAAAGTCTTAGCAGCCTGACGCTGGTGGCTCACGCCTGTAATCCTAGCTACTCAAAAAGCTGAGATCTGCAGATCGCAGTTCAAAGCCAGCCGAGGCTGAAAAGTATGGGAGACTCTTCATGTCCAATTGACCACTAGAAAACCGCAAGTGGAGCTGTGGCTACAGGGCTAGAGCGTCTTGAGCAAAAGGCCTCAGACAACACAGGTCCTGAGTTCGGTCCCCACGACCCACGAAATAAAGTTTTAGCACGATAAAGGCTTACTGACTAAAAGAGACCCTCTGAGTGATGAATGACTGATGTGGAAGGTAAAGGCTACAGCCAAGACAGTGCAGGGGTGCTGCTGAATTGGGGGGGGGGGGAAGCATGCACTTACTAGGGTCACCTAAACCAGATTGGGGGTGCGGGGAGGGAAGGAACCCTGCAGGGAACGCTGAGATGGGGCCCTGGGTGGGGCTCCCGCAGGGGGGCTCCCGACCGGGGCCCTGTGCGGAGGTGGGAGGGGCGCTGGCTGGGGGCGGGGCTGAGGGCTCCTCCTGAGGAGGACGGAGCGACGCCTGGGAGCGGGGCCTGAGGGGCGCCCGAGGTGGGGCTCCGAGCCGGGCACCTGAGGGAGACTCGCGCGGGTCATTGGTGCCAGAGCCGGACCCCAACGGCTTCGCCCACAGTAGAACCTGGTGGCCAGGTAGGAGGCTCGGCCTCCCTCAGGCCGCCTCGTGGAATGGGGCTTGCTGGGGACCTCGTGGGGAGGCCTCGCCGGCGGTCTGTGCGCCTGCCCGGCCCGCAGGCGGCGCAGGCCCGCGGGCAGCCCGCTTCGAAGCCCGTGTTGGTCCGCATGCTCCTCACACCCACGGCCCGGAGGCCCGGAGGCCGGGATGGGGCGGGCAGGGGGCGGGGAAGGGGGGGGGCACCGCCATTGCCCTAACTTCCTTCACAAGGGGAAAAAGGCCAAGCATAGCGGCCCTCAACCTGTAATCCCCCACTCAGAAAGCCGAAGCCCCAGCATCGCGAGTTCTGGGCCAGCCTGGTGTTGGGCAGCAACCAACAGCTTGAGGCGGTTTCAAAAACAGAAAGTGGAAGAGAATGTTTTATTTACTTTTTCTCCTTTCAGAGGAAAACTTGCCGTTTTAGGGCTGACCAAAAAAAAAAAAAAAGAAAGAAAAGAAAAACAACCCACTGTTAATTTAATAATTAAAATGAAAGAAGCCAATAAGGGCAAAAGCGCTCGGGCTCTGGAGGTGCATTTTTGCTTTGTTTTGTTTTGTGTGCTCTGGGGATGGGCCTGCCACATGCTAGGTCAGCAATCTACAGAACTGCACCCCCCAAGCACCCCTTCAAGGATTTCAGTGGGGCCCTGGAATGGAGTGGGAACCATCAAATCATCAAATCATTTATTACCGGGTGAAGAGGCCTGGGGGCCTGCCATAAAGGTGTAGTAGAAGCCTGAGGGCCATAAAAAGATAGTATAAAGTGCAGGCAAGTAAAAGGGCCCTAACTTGTTCTTTTAAATGAAGATGGGAGATGGGTGGAGTCCTGCTCAGGGATCCCCAGCTAGAGGTTGAATGTGTTTTTGTGGCAGGTGTCATACCTGCAGTTGGGCTGGATATGGCCTAGCCTAAAAATGGGTGGAAGGCAGATGCAGAATTTGAGGAGCCAAGGTAAGACGTGTAGACTGTTCCAAGGATAGTTGGAAGTCTTTGGAGGGTTTTCATTGCTAGAGTTACTGAGTTTTTGATGATTTCAAGCCCAGTTCCAGAGTTAACCAGTTTTGCAGGGAGGAACTATTAAGTTTTAAAAATAAGATCAGATCCTGTTTAGTATAAGTAGTATATCCAAGCACAACTGCATTATTTGATCATGTTTGAGTACAGAAGGAAAATCGCTGCCTATTTGAGGAGTCTTTCATTTCAAGGAGTCTCACAATTGCATATTAGTGTGGGATCTAAAAATGTCAGTGCAGACTGAAACCACAGAGAGATCTTAACCAAGGGGAATTTTTGAACATTATCTGACATTGAAAGCCAGGGCCTGTAATCCTAGCTACTCAGAAGACAGAGATCAGAGGATCACAGCTCAAAGCCAGGGTGGGCAGGAAAGTGGGTGAGACTCTTACTTCCAATTAACCACCAAAAAGCTGTAAATGGAATTGTGGCTCAAATTGTAGAGTGCTAGCCTTGAGTGAAAAAGCTAAAGGACAACTCCCAAGACCTCAAAGTAGTTTTCAAGTATTGAATTGATTGTAACATGTAGAAATTGGTTCCATGCACTCAATTTAAAAGTACAACAGATAAAAGATTTTTATAGGAAGTGGAGGCATGGCCCAAGTGGAGGGCCAGTCATGAGCAAAGCAGCTAAGCAAGAGTTCAAGGCTTAGTTCAAGCCCCTGTAATAGCAGAGAGATAGAGAGACAGAGACAGAAACTTAGGGTATTGCTGTCTTGGTAAATAATTAGGAATTGGTTGAATTTCTGGTTCAAGAATTCTTTCAACAAATTAGTATATTGAAGTAATGAAAGGCCTTCTTTTATCCTTTTGTTTTGTGTATGTGTGTATGTGTGTATTTTAACTCAGTTGATTGAACTCAACTTTGCTTGCTAAGCAAGCACTTTACCACTTGAGCTATATCCTAGTCCCTGTTCTTAAAGAGAGTTTAAATACTTTATAGAAAGTAGAAACAATCCAAATATTCTAACCATGGGAGAAATATTCTCATATTTTCAATTCTAAGGGTTACTATTACCAAACAACATGCTAGACACTGAAGGAAAAGGCTATATGACAAGTTTCTACCCGTGGGAATTTTATATGATGGGAGAAATGTCATAAAAACAAGTTACCAGGAAGTGGCACTGGTGGTTCAAGTGGTAGAGTGCTAGCCTTGAGCTGAAGAGCTCAGGGACAGCGCCCAGGCCCAAAGTTCAGGCCCCATGACCTACCAAAAACAAATGAACAAACAAGTTACCATACACTACAATGACTGCTAATCCAGAAACAAGGTTTCTGAAAACAGCTTTCTATTAATTCCACACAGCATCTCTAAGTATTCTCATGCTTATATTATAGTCAAACATCTACATCCCCTGGCAACTGCTAAAAAAGATAGCCTAGGTGAGCACAAATTGTGTCCTTTCTTTCAACTTAAAATGGTTTCATTAAAGCCAGCGATTTCTCTTTCCTTTAGGTGTAAACAATATCCATTATCCAGATACTGGCTGCATACCTACCTCTGGTTAGGCTGCCATGCATCACAGGCGATCTCTTAGTACAGGACTCTCCAATGCCACTAAGATAAACCAGCAGCCTCCTCGGCTTCTCATTGTGCACATCCCTTTACCATCCTGGGCTGACATCTGCTCCAACCTTTGTGAGGCTCTACAGAACTTTTTCTCTCTAGCCTGCAGTTTGATGGGCCCCAACCGCATGTCTCTGTTCAGCTTATACATGGTACAAAATCAACATGAGTGTATCCTCCCTTTTGTGGTAAGTACATCTATATTTATTCACTTTCTCCTGAATTCAAATATGGGATTTCTGGAGCAGAGATCACAGCTATTATTACTTAAAGTTTTTTTAATAAGTTTTTTATTGTGAAAATACTGTACAGAGGGGTTACAATCACATGAGCAAGGTAATGAGTACATTTCTTAATCAGCGTTATTGCCTCCTTTGTTTTTCCCCCTATTAAAAAAAAAAGCACTTGTTCTTCATATCTGATAGCCCACAGATGACACCACAAACTACAGGTCATCCTTTCTGCATGAGAGCTGGGACTGCCCAAGGGAATTACTACCAAGTTACTAGTTTGGGAATTTAAATAAGCTATACTACTTCCCTGGACCTTGGCATTTACAATTCTTTGAACAGTAATTCCTTTTGTCCCCTATGAAATATAAATGCTAAGGCAAGTCTCTAAATGTCTTCAGAGTCTTGTCTATTCAGTCATAGTTTTACTTCACAGCTTATCTTGTACAATTTTCTTTTTTTTTTTTTGTCGGTCGTGGGGCTTGAACTCTGGGCCTGGGCACTGTCCTTCAGCTCTTCAGCTCAAGGCGAGCGCTCTACCACTTGAGCTACAGCGCCACTTCCTATCTTGTACAATTTTCTTTGCTCAGAAAACCCTGAGCCCAGGCACCAGGCTATAATCCTATCATCTTTGCTACTTAGGAAGCTGAGATCCAGGATTCACAGTTTGAAGCCAGCCAGGCAGGAAAATCCATGAGACTCTGATCTTCATTTATCTACCAAAAAAACCTGGAAGTGGTGCTATGGCTCAAGTGGTAAAGCACTGGCTTTAAGCCAAAAAGCTCAGGAACAGTTCTCAGGCCCTGAGTTCAAGCCAAGAACTGGCAAAAAAAAAAAAAAAGAAAAGAAAAGAAAAAAACACCCTAACTGCATAAACATGAAAATGTTTTGTCTGTGTTCAACTCAGATGAAAATTTTACTGTCTTTAGGCAAAACTCCCCCAGAGGTTTAGAAGGCATTATCAGGGTCAGGAGTATTAGTTTTAGAAAGTTCTCACATAATTTTCAAAGAAAATTCTAATCTCCCCTTACTCCCTTACGTGAAGTTCAGAATCCTGTAGATGAGAAAAAGTTCTGGAGAATCTGTATATACTTCTCCCAGATAGCCTTGATACAAATGCGTCATATTAAATGGGCATATGTTCTCTAAGAGTTTCAAAGCAAGAAATTTTGCAAATCTGTTGCTAAATTACTAGTATATATCTGACTCGAATCCACTCATTTTTAAGGTAATGCCTTCATTTTCCTCATTGAAAGTAGAAAAATAGTACCTCTGTTGATACTAGAAAGAATGAAAATAATATACATGCCTACACTATAAAGAATGAAAACAATATTCAGGCATGCCCCATAAACAAGGCAGAGGTATACAGGAAACGATGGTATACACCCCGATATGGATGCAGGCACATGAAAAAAGGAGAGTGTTCTAACATTTGGGGGTACTTACACTAGGTAAGACAGGACAAGAGGGTGAGGTATGCATAATTAAGCAGTCTCAGGAAAAGTGTGGCCTAGTTGATCAGCTATAGTTATTGAGGAGTTCTAGAGATCTTATCACTGTCATCATGAGATGATTACTTATGTTCCACAGGGCCGTCTCATTATCATAGGTAATTGTCTTCATTTAAGGAGTGGTCTATTTTGCAAGCCTCTGTTGTTCCTAGGGTATCATTTGCTTCAAAGATGTTATCCACCAGTTCTGGCATTCCCAATATCCAGGGTGACTGCAGGAGACAGGCTGAGCAAAGGAGACATATAAAAGAGAAGCAAGAATATCAGGTTTTAATCTTGATTTTAGTTAATTTATGGGCAATTAGTGCCTTTTAGCAAAAGTAGTTTGTTTTTTTTTATTTAATTTAATTTTTTTTGTGAACATACTGTACAGAGGGGTTACAATTACATGGGCAGGATAATGCGTACATTTCTTATCAAGCATTGCAGCCTCCTCCGTTGTTTACCCTTCACATCCCTTCCCAGCTTCCCCCCTCCCCCCCACCCAATTCCCCCCCCCCTCCTCTCCCCCCCCACCAACGTTGTAAAGCTCGTTTTCGACTTGACAACTTGTACTTCTCATTGTTGCAACAGGTCCACCTGTATCCTTAAATGACTTGTTTTTCCCCATCTCCTCCACAAGTTATACTGACATCAAATATAGTGAAAGCAGGGGTTATACTGTGGGGGAGGGACATACAAAGCAACAAAGAGATAATCTTATAAATGCATTAGAAACAAATGCATGAAAGAAAAAAGCATTAAAATACATATCTAAGGGTTCATTTTCCTAACATCATATTATCTGACCTTGTCCGCTTGACTCATACATATACTAGATATTGCAAATAAGGGAAACAATGGGACCTTTGTTTCTTTGGGCCTGGCTTACTTCACTTAATATAATTTTTTCCAAGTTTTTCCATTTCCTAACAGCAAAAGTAGTTTTTAAGCACCTGTGTTACTTCTTGATTACAATATAATAAAAAAAATCTAACATATTTTGGTTGCTTTTGACTGTATGTTGTGCTGGAGTTTATGTCTCCGTTATATGTTTGTAATCGTAGCTACTCAGGAGGCTGAGATCTAAGGAGGCTGAGATCTGAGGATCGTGGTTTGAGGCTAACCCAGGCATCAGATTCTTATCTCCAATTAACCACTCAAAAACCAGAAATGGAGCTGGGGCTCAAAGTGATAGCAAAAATGCTCAGGGCCAGCATGAGGTCAAGCTCCAGAACTGGCACTAAAAAATAAAAAAATAAAGTAGTAAGTAATAAGAATCACCATCATCATAGTAAAATAAAATTGTAGAATATCTAGAAGATAAGCTTAGTATAAACACTAGAGAAGAGGCAATACCAACAGAAATAGTCATACATTTAAGTTATATTAATTAATGTAATTTAAAATATATTTTTAAAAAGAAAGACAAAATAAAGCAGAGAAGCCAATAAAATATTTAAGGAAAGTTGAAGGGAGGAAATAATAAAGATTAAAACCTCTCAACACTTCTAGCTCATGCCTGTATCCTAGCTATTCGGAAGGCTGTTATCTGAGGGTCAAGGCTTGAAGCCAGCCAACTGGGATTACAAGCATGAACTGCTATACCCAGCAAAAACATCATTATTAACTCTTAGTGAATGAGAAAACAAAATAAGGTTTAAGACTCCAATTTGCAGATGACCAAAGTAAAACTAGGTAGTCATAACTGGACTCTTTATTGGGTGAGTGAATGAGTTAAAACACTTGCTATTTCTGGCAAATTCACGCAAATTTCCCTTCCTCTGGTATAGGGAAGATTTTAACATATTTGGACAGTATACATTTGTCAAATCAGTTTTCTAGAAAAGAACTCCTAAAGTGTAATTGTTAATTAAGTTAGCTGTCAATCTGAAACCTAATTACTAAAGTTTTATATCTTTGATTCATTTTTCTCTGCAGCAAGTGAAGGGGAATTTTGTTAGGTTGCAAGCCTGCATCTCAGAGCTCCGAATGCTGCAGAGGGAAGGTTATTTCAGACCACAAAGCACTTCTCTGAAGTTGGCAGTAGAGGATGGGCTACAGCAGTTCAAACAATACAGCAGACATGTGACAGGTGCCACTCTGCCTTACACTTTCCTGGAGGTAAAAGATTCTGGCCCTTAAGGCTAAAAGCTAACTTCCCATTTCATTCCATATAGGTGTTTCATTATTTATCATTCCTACATTATTCATATTTCATCTTATTGAATATCATTTTCAAGGTTAAATTTATGACTCCTTGAAGACATAAGAAGTATTTTTCTCCACACTATAACCCAAGTAACTTTTTTTCTTTTTCTTTTCTTTTTTTTTTTTTTTGTAAGTTCTGGGGCTTGAATCTGGACGTGGGTGCTATCTCTCAGCTTTTCAGCTCAAGGCAAACACTCTACCACTTGAGCCACAGCTCCACTTCCAGTTTTCTGATGGTTAATTGGAGATAAGAGTCTCATGGACTTTCCTTGCCCAGGCTGGCTTTGAACCGTGATCCTCAGATCTCAGCCTCCTGAGTAGCTAGGCTTACAGGCGTGAGCCATCAGCATCCGGCTCCAACTAATACTTTTTTTTTTTTTTTTATGGTCCGGTCGTGGGGCCTGAACTCTTGGCCTGGGCGCTGTCCCTGCTGTCCCTCAGCTCTTCAGCTCAAGGCTAGCACTCTACCTCTTGAGCCACAGCACCACTTCTGGCTTTTTTCTTTTTGCTTATGTGGTGCTGAGGAATCGAACCCAGGGCCTAATGCATGCAAGGCAAGCACTCTACCACTGAGCCACCTTCCCAGCCCCCCAAGTAATTCTTAATATGTAAATAGAAATGTAAAGGACTTGGAAAAATAGGGACTGAATTATTATAAGAAAAAAAAACATGGGGGGGAGGGGGGAGGCTGGGAAGGGATGTGAAGGGTAAACCAAAGGAGGAGGCTGCAATGCTTGGTAAGAAATGTACGCATTATCCTGCCCATGTAATTGTAACCCCTCTGTACAGTATGTTCACAAATAAAAAATAAATAAATAAATTTAAAAAAAAACAGAAATAGATTCTGGTGGCTTATGCCTGTAATCTTAGGTACTAAGGAGGCTGAGATCTGAGGATCATTGTTCTAAGCCAGCTCAGGCAGCAAAGTCCATGAGACTCTTATCTCCAATTAAGCACCAAAACACAAAACAAAACAAAACCCTAAAAGTGGAGCTGTGGCTCAAGTAGTAGAGCATTAGCCTTAACCAAAAACTCAGGAAATGCACCCAGATCCTGAGTTCAAGCCCCTGGGCTGTCATTCAAAAAAAGAGTAAAGAAAGAAGAGGGAAAAAAGCTATAAAAATAAAATTTGAGTATACCATCTGCCTCTGGATCTTTGGACTTTTCAAGGCAAACATTAAACTGTCTTGATTGTGTCTATATTTATATTTACCTGAATACCTTTAAGAATTTGTAATTGTTGGGCTGGCAATGTGGCTTAGTGGTAGAGTGCTTACCTTGCATGCATGAAGCTTTGAGTGGCACTGTGGTTCAAAAGACAGAGCCTTGAACAAAAGAAGTTCAGGGACAGGGCTGGGAAGGTGGCTCAGTGGTAGAGGCGCTTGCCTTGCATGCATGAGGCCCTGGGTTTTATTCCTCAGCGCCACATAAGCAAAAAGAAAAAAGCCAGAAGTGGCATTGTGACTCAAGTGGTAAAGCGCTAGCCTTGGCTGAGGGACACCGCCGGGGCCCAGAGTTCAGGCCCCAGGGCCGGACCAAAAAAACAAAAAGAAGTTTAGGGACAGTGTCTAGACCCTGAGTTCAATCCCCAGCACTGAAAAAAAAAAAAAGAATTTGTAATTGTCTTTAACCAAATCTTGCTATAAATTGCATAACTTTTCTTAGAATTTACGAATATAAAACTTGCTGTTATCCTGTTGCCAAACCAAGACAGTTTAAAAAATATGCGTAATTCATGACTGGATACTCCAGTTGCATGTGTTAATGTGAGTTAAAACACTTTCAGTTTCTCATAACCTCACCCAAAAACGTGTTAAAAATAAACTTGTGGCACTTCTGGCTTCTAGTTTCACATGTAAAGCACTTGGAAGTCACTGAAACAATTCTTTTCAGATGCCAAAGAGAAGTTAGGTTAGAAGTTAAGGCAGGGGTTTGCCCCCTGCCTCCAAAATTAGAGAGAGTGTCAAGTCTATATGGAGAACCACAGTACACTAAAGCAGAAGCCTGAATTTGTTAATTGATAAATTGCTGAAGGCTATGTGGACAAGTCAAAAAGTTAACAACCCAAGGAGTATCCAGTCAGCCTCCATGCTTTGTGAGGTTTTTTTGTTTTGTTTTGTTGTCGGTTGTGGGGCTTGAACTCTGGGCTTGGGCACTGTCCTTCAGCTCTTCATCTCAAGGCTAGAGCTCTAGCTCTTGAGCCACAGCGCCACTTCCGGTTTTCTGAGTGGTTTATTGGAGATAAGAGTCTTATGGACTTTCCTGCCCCAGCTGGCTTTGAACCGCAGTCCTCACATCTCAGCCTCCTGAGTAGCTAAGATTACAGGTGTGAGCCACCGGTGCCCAGCATTTTTGTGAATTTTGCCTCTAGTAGTTCAACTGGGATTCACAATATATTTACAGGAAAGATCAGGAAATTACCTCGGTGGAAAAGAAAACTTTTTCTACTATACCAAAAAAATTGTGTTGTTTTTGACAAGTTTTGCCCTCTGGAAAATCTAGTTAAACAGAGTCTAACCTGCTGGGGTTTCTAAAGAACCTAACTGACCTGGAGGCCAAGAAATACCAAACTCAACTATACCCTTTTACCGCTATGTGTGTGTGCACATGCACACATACATGTATACACAGTGTGCACACAGGTACTAAGGTTTGAACTCATTCTCTCATTTGGCTTTTTTGCTAAAGGCTGGCACTCTCATTTGAGCCATGCCTCCAGTTCCCTAAATATTATTTCTTTAAAGGTTCTACCATACTCTTCCAAATTTGATTTATATAATTCCTTGAACTTTTCGCTAAGATCAGGAAAAGTTAGAGCTGTAAGTTGCAGTTAAATATTTCTCTCTGCATCAAACACAATAACTACTACTACTATAAATATCTATGTTTGTCCTCAAGACACAGGTTATGTACCTCACTCTGGACATAGAGAATAGACCCATTAATTCTTGGACTTATTTTCAGATTACTGTCCTGACTTCCCATCCTGGAAAAGAAGTGGTCAAACAATTAGAGGAAGGATTGAAAGATATCGACCTAGGCAGGGTCAGAAGGCTTCAGGTTGTTGGGGTCACAAAGGGAATCCTAGAGCAAATAGACTCCGAGTCTCCTGAAGAGGCTGGAAGTGATGGTAAGATTTGTTGGTTTTTTTTTTTAGTTGAATCTCACTATGTTGCCTGGGCTGGCTTTGAACTCAAGATTGTCCTGCCTCAAGAATTTCTCGCGCACGCGCACGTGTGTGTGTGTGTGTGTGTGTGCGCGCACATGTGCGTGCACGCACGTGCCAGTACTGGAATTTGAATTCAGAGCCTGGGCACTGTCCTTTAGGTTTCTTACCCAAGGCTAGTGCCCTACCACTTGAGCCACAGCTCCACTTCTGGCTTTTCGGTGGCTAATTGAAAATAAGGGGCCTTTCCTGCCCAGGCTGACTTCAGACCACAACTTACAGATCTAAACCTCCCGAGTAGTTAAGATTACAGGTGTTAGCTACTGATACCTGGTAAGAATTTTTTAATATACTTTTATTGTTGTTATTAAGGTATTGTACAGAGAGGGGTTATTACATTTCATAGGTCAGGTAATGCATTTACCCAATAAACATTTTAAGTGAAAATAGATTTTTTAATGAGCATAAATTTATTTGATTTACAAGTCTGGAATATGAGAAGTCTAACATTCAGGGTTTGGCATCTGCTGAGGGGCTTCCAACTATGACATAATATGATGGCAGGTATCACATGGCAAAAGTATGAGACAGAGACAGAGAAGAGAGGAAATGCCTGCGTAAAAAGCAACCAAACTTCATCCTTTTTCATTTTTGTTTATTTTGTTTGTTCCAGTATTGAGGCTTAAACCCAGGTCCTTTCACTCTCTCTTGGCTTCCTTGCATATAGCTGGCCTTCTACCACTTGAGCCATGCCTCCAGGCCATTACTTTGTTGGTTAATTGGACATAGAGTCTTGTGGGCTTTTCTGTCAGAAAACTTATACCCTTCAGGTCTAAGTAGCTAGGATTACAGATGTGAGCCAAGAGTGCCTGTCAGACTTGGATCCCACCTCACACTGTTTTTTGTGTGAGGATTCTCTCTCCCACAGAAGCAGTTTTCTATTTCAATGCTGAAGCTGTTTCTGTTGTTTCTTGGCCTATCATAAAGCAATATGTCATCATAGCAAGACATAGTGGAGCAATGCAGCTGTGTTCTTGATAGCCAGGAAATAGAGCAAAAGCTGTGTAAAAAAAAATTTTTTTTGGTCGGTCATGGTACTTGAATTCAGGGTTTAGGCATTGTCCCTGAGGAATTTTTTTTGGGGGTCCAGTCATGGGGCCTGAACTCTGGGCCTGGGCGTTGTCCCTCAGCTCTTCAGCTCAAGGCTAGCGCTCTACCACTTGAGCCACAGCGCCACTTCTGGCTTTTTTGCTTATGTGGTGCTGAGGAATCGAACCCAGGGCCTTGAGCATGCAAGGCAAGCCCCTCTACCACTGAGCCACCTTCCCAGCCCCCCTGAGGAATTTTTGCTCAAAGATAATGTTTTACCACTTTGAGCCACAGCTCACTTCCAATTTTCTGGTAGTTATTTGGAGATAAGAATCTCATAGAGAGGGACTGGGAAGGTGGCTCAGTGGTAGAGCACTTGCCTTGCACGCATGAGGCCCTGGGTTCGATTCCCCAGCACCACATAAGCAAAAAGATAAAAAGCCGGAAGTGGCACTGTGGCTCAAGTGGTAGAGTGCTAGCCTTGAGCTGAAGACTGAGGGACAGCGCCCAGGCCCAGAGTTCAGGCCCCATGACCACACCCCCCCAAAAAAAATTAAAGAATCTCACAGAGGGCTGGGAAGGTGGCTCAGTGATAGAGCGCTTGCCTTGCATGCATGAGGCCCTGGGTTCAATTCCTCAGCATCACATAAGCAAAAAGAAAAAAGCCGGAAGTGGCTCTGTGGCTCAAGTGGTGGAGTACTAGCCTTGAGCTGAAGAGCTGAGGGACAGCGTCCAGGCCCAGAGTTCCGGCCCCACGACCAGACCCCCCCCCCCCACCAAAAAAAGAATCTCACAGACTTTTCTACCTGGACTGTCTTAGAACCAAGAACCTCAGATCTCAGCCTCCTGCGTAGCTAGGATTATAGGCATGAGCCACCAATGCCAGGCTTCAGCTTATATTTTATTTTATTTGGGGGGGGGGGGCCTGGGCACTTGTGTAACTACTGGCAAAAAAAAAAATTTTAAGTTAGCATTTGGGCTGGGAATGTGGCTTATTGGTAGAGTGCTTGTCTAGCATGCATGAAGTCCTGGCTTTGATTTCTCAGTACCACATAAACAGAAAAGGCCAAAAGTGGTGCTGTGGTTCAAGTAGTAGAGTGCTAGCCTTGAGCAAAAGAAGCTCAGGGACAGTGCCCAGGCCCCAAGTTCCAACTCCAATACTGGCACCAAAAAAAAGTCAGTGTTTATAGGTAGAACTAATTTTTAGTGGTTATATGATTTTTTATTGTGTGGTTGTAACATAGTCTAATTACTTACTAGTAAACAATTTGATTTATTATGTTTTACTATTATAATCAATGCTATGGGAACAGATTTATATAAAGGGATAGCTTTATGGGCTAATGATCAATGCAGTTACCTAGGGTCCAGTGTGCAAAAAGGTACCATCTTTGGAGTTTAATGGTCTTTGGCTGTTGTCTTAAATTTCTTAGTAATTTTATTCATTTTGTATGTATGGGCCAGTACTAGGGTTTGAACTTAAAGCCTCACACTTTCATTCACCATTTTCACTCATGACTGGCACTCTACCACTTGAATCATGCTTCTAGCCTAGCATTTTGCTAATTAGAGATAGGGTCTTTCCAACTTTCCTGACCTGCCTGACTCAAGCCTCAGCAATAATTTTATCTTTGAACTTGTGGGAATCTATGAGTTCAATCCCCAGTACAACAAACAAACTTCACTTACAAGACTCCCACCTTCTAGTAGCCTAGCGTACTTTACCACTTGAGCCATACCCCAAGCCCTGCAGTGGGATCTTCTATGTGTACATAATCTTGGAAGGGGCCTGTATAAATAGAAAGCACTGCAGGAGGGTGAACTATTACTTGAGTGCTGGATGAATATAAACTGGTTAACAGAATGCTTATACTCCATAATTAGATCATCTATACTTGACTTCCTGAGAGTGCTTACTTTTTGATAGCATTAATCTCTTCCTGGTCCCACATGAGAAGCGTCACTCTTCTTTTCCTCCTCTCTCCCTATAATAAAGTGTAGACAGATTGGTAACTAAGGTTGTAGTTCCTGTCAAATTCTCACACATATAGATGTTTCAGGCATTATGAGGTCACTAAACCCTGCCTGGAGAGAGAGAGTAACCGGCTTGAACCGTGTGGTCTGTGAGCTCTCATCTTTGGCACAGACTGCTTTTCTCAAGCCAGTCTTTTTACTGACAGTTCTTTCTATCATTCCTCCACCCACAATAGGCTTTTCCTCTGAATTCTTCCTGTCTTCTTCCATCCTCTTCCAACTCCTTCCCATCCCTTCAATCCCAACTCAAGTTTAGGACTACTGTTTTGACTTTCCTTTCCTTAGATCAACTACATCACTTGTCTGCAGCATACAATTCAGCACTTAATTATCTTCCTTGCTGAATTGTTCATCGCTCCTTCATTGTGTGATAATTCTTTCTAGTCATCTAAATTGTGAATTCCTGGATGTCTTTTCAGTCTGCATTCTGTAAACACTTTGGTTGAGCTTCCTCATTTCTGTATCCTAATGTATACTATATCCTAGATAATCAAGAAGTATTTGTTGAATTAAGTGAGGATATATTTATAAAAGCCCTTCTTAGTCTGCTCAGCATTTCTTACATCCCCTTTCTCTGGTGACATCTCCTTTCTGGTCACAAATGGGTCATAACCTAGGCTGAGGCAACTGTAATTTTCCAAGACACCAATCAAAGTCCTTCACATTAAGTTTTCAAACTGAATCCATGAGAAAAAGGTGTTTTTCTTTCTCTTTAGCACCTAAGGCGTGAACTATGTCTTTTTTTCCTTCAGAGATTGTACCCAGAAAGAATCTCAGTATCCAATAGCAAAAAAATAATTAATTGTGTGTGTGTGTGTGTGTGTGTGTGTGTGTGTGTGTGTGTACTAGGGCTTGAACCCAGGGCCTAGCACTGTTTAGTGTTCTACTTGAGCTAATCAACTGAACGAAAAATTCATGAATATCCATTTATTTTTATGTTTCGTAGCTTATATATGTATTTCAGGTCTTTATATAAAATAAAAATTTTAGGGCTGGGAATGTGGCTTAGTGGTAGAGCCGTTGCCTAGCATGCATGAAGCACTGGTTTTGATTCTTCAGTATCTCATAAACAAACAAACAACAAAAAAGCAGAAGGGGCACTGTGGCTCAAGTGCTAGAGTGCTAGCCTTGAGTGAAAGAAGCTCAGGCCCTGAGTTCAGGCCCTAGGACTGGCAAAAAAAATTATAATAGCTTTTTACAGAGTGTAATAAATGTGCCCAAACTAAAAAGGCTACAGAGGCAGCTGACCGGGTTGTGATAAGAGTCTGTACTCCTTGAGTATTAAGTCTTTCAGCCAGTTACAAATCAACCTAATGATGCTATCAACTTGCCTATAATTCTCAGCCATATACACAAGAATATCAGGTTCCTTTTCTAAGTGCTTACAAACCATCTGTTTAATATTTCCTCCTAGAGTTTGCCAGAGATCAATGTCAAGATCCTTTAGAAAGGTATTTTGTCCATATGTGTTCTCAGGAAACACAAAATGTTAACAATCCAAACAAAGAAGATAATTGCTTTTTAAAGAATTCCAGGGAGAACTAGAGGTTGGAGAAAGTCCCTCCTATGCTTCTATGCAATTGTTAAGACTCCAGATATTGACTTTTTTCCTCTTTTAGTATCTTAGAAAATAGACCAAAGAAAGAAAGAAAATAGACCAGAAAACAAAAATACTCATGGAGTTTCTCTTTGGTAACTACCTCAAAGTCATTTTCCTATGGTATAAGACCAAAGTAGAACCACTGTGGTGTTTATTACCTAAAGATTTTTTACCATAAAAAAGTATTTGTTTAATTCATTATTAACAGCCATGGTCTCAGAAAAATAATACCTGTCTCTTT